TCCCCTTCCAATTTAGCCCCCCTTCTCCAATAAAAATTATGCTCAGCGGTGCCTGTCTATACAATCAAAACTATCATATTACTCACTCTACTAAGACACTGACAAGACAAAGTACATGTAGTTTAGAAGAACAAGACAGTGTTTTAATATCTTAAGCCATGATCAAAACACGGATTTCTCCTGGATTCTGTTTCAGCTGCTGAAAGAAAAAGGAATAATGTCTTTGCAAAGAACCATACCATTTAATATGTGTTACACCTTAACTGTTCACTATGGCCCCCACCCACCCACACCTTAACTGCTCACTATGGCCCCCCCTTTTTTTTCCTTTATCCTTGGTTCTTGCTTTGTTAGACCCTACTTACTAAAGGATTTCATAATGTTGATCATGATAATCTTAATGTTTAATTGTGCTTACCTAGGAGTTCTGGTCCATCTTGGGCTTATGYAACACTGTTGGAAAACATGCAACAAAATACAAGTTATAAAAACATAAATATAAGAACATATTAAAAAGAAAATTGTAGGGRAAGCCCTCTCGAAAATACAAGGAGATGTGTTATGCCATCATTTTTTTAATAGCACGTGTTTTGCCTTTGCCAAGTTATAAATCTTAATTGTTTAGTAGTTATGTTGAAGTAATTGAAATCTTTACTTCTAATGTGTTTATAATATAAGGAGTTATTTAAATATACTTAAATGATATTAGCTTAACGTCCACCACGACACATTTCTTGAATTTTAAATTTCCCGCGAAGAAAATGCAATTTAAAAGGAGCAAAATCATTTTAAATTGTCTTAATTTTCGTTCGTAAATCTTAAATAGAATGACATTCAAGCTAAACAGCAAATAAAATAAATTCCAATAAAATTTTACCTTTTAGCAGTTTTGGAGCGTCAAATACCTCATGATCGCATCGAATGTTGGAATCTTGTCGATTTCACACCCTAGCTGTTGTAACCTGGCCACATTGCAATMAATTATTTCCCATATTTGGGCATTCGAATTAGCCAATACAAAATACGATAAATTTACACTTTTTAAAAAGTATTTTATTGTCAAAGTCATAAATTCATTTCATAAATTACGTTATCATATATATTCCGTTTTTTTCATTAGTATTTTCCATTGAAAATCATTGAAGATCTGTTTACTCTGGCAAATTGTCGGGCAATGTGGGAGTCGGTGAAGGTGTTAAAGTCTGCGCAAACTCACTGCGCTAGAGATACCCTGCAATAAAACTTCTAGCATGTTCGAATTAGTGTCGCGAAATATGACATCTGTCGCGAWAAGGCAAGCTGTTAGCACGTCCTTGGGTTAGATAAAACTGCTGCAATATGGCTGACGCATGACAACTTTGCCAAAGTAAACATTGACGATTCACATTGCATAAGCATAAGCCGCTACGAAAAAAAAACAAAGGCAAACTAAAATGCAGGCGGAGCTCCTAAGTGCCGATTTAGACGGCACAACTTTTGCCTACAACCATCGCATGCAACCTGCTTAAGTCATCCTTACAACATGGCGACAACTGTCGTAGGGCTATTAAGCAATTGTTTTTAAATCCCTACAACAGTTGTAGCCAAGTTGTAAGGACGACTTACGCGGGTTCCATGCGGTGGTTGTAGGCAAAAGTCGTGCCGTCTAAATCGGCCTGAATCGCGCAATGTAAATGCCCCTACGACTTGCCTACAACAATTGTACGCAACCTACGACTTGTAGAACGCTGTTATCATATGTTATTTTTGCTCCGTTTTTTTTTTCTTCACGTTTTGTGCTTATTTTCCTGTSGCTGTTACGTCACCTACTTGACCTGCTATGCATTGTGGGATCAKTTTCTGAAGAAAACAAAAGAAATCCGCCATGTTTGTCCCAAACATATCCTACAATGCATTGCGTATACAGTATATGACGTAGAAGCTCCAGAGGACTAATGCCCTTAATTAACATATAAGATACTAGGCTTCCACTACTAGGTAGCAGGCGTAACTCTTTGACATCTTTTAACTGAAGCCTTCAGAGATAGCCCTGGAAACCTAGTGGATCCCAGTCTCAAATAGCCCGGTAAACAGGAATYCCGAAACGAATATAGGTGCGCACAGAGCGAGACTAACAACCCCTAAGACTTCCTCATTTCTAGCTGCCTCAATTGTAAATCAACTTCAAGTTTAACATTGCGATAAGCATGGTGTTCGTCACTCTTAAGAAGAATAGAATGAAACACGTAYGCAGAAAGAAACAYGGCCGACATYACCTGGAACGTATGAAGAACTATAGGACTAATGCTAGTAATTGACTGAAAGTGCTTGCATGGTAAAAATATAAACAATATGAGACAAATAATCGTTAAATACATTGATGGACGCCCTTTGTGCGTATTGTGAATACCGTCCTGAATAATGCTGGAGACTTCCATTAGAGCGTTCTTCTGGGAGACTGTGTCCTTATCTGATAAAGGGAAATAGGAGATTAAACAACTTTAAGTCCTGCGCTGCCCAAACGTATTTTACCGCACTTGCATGCATTCTCGCGCGCCTAGTGTGTCAATAGGAGGACATATACCATAATTGTGTTAGCACAATCACGTCTCCCGCGCGCGCTCAGTTGAAAGAAAAACAATAAAATAAAATTTAGATTAAAAAATGCGTCAAAAAACAAAAACAAATTGAACATAATATTTTCATTGTATGTCCTCTTATTGACACACTCTTGAAGTCATCAAATGTTAAAAACTTTGTAACAAACTCACTTGAGTTTTGAACATTTTATAAAGTTAAGTGTGTCAATAAGTGAGCATACAACTTAACCTTAGTATCAGACTCCCCTCTCTCTTTCCGCAGACCCCTAGAACACCTGATACGCGAGTCACATACAATTCAAAAACGTGCACAATAAGCTAGCAGTACAGTAGCTGCAGTCGAAATTCTATTAAGCTGTAAATCGCATTAAAGACCAGTTTGCACCATTAAGCTTTGCGCGCCTCTGTTATTGTTATGATTTTCACCAAAATACTTCTAGTATCCAAATATCACCATAAAATGAATTTCAGATGGTTGAAAACTCTTATATTAKCGTTTATGTGCTTAGAAAAGTTAGATGGTCAAAGACTCGAAACACACAGTACATTAATTTATAGACTTTTGGTAAATTGAAAATGGCCGCCTCCCGGCCCTCGCGTCCCCCAAAGCATAATGGTGCACACTGGTCCTTTAATGAACGCCACTTTAATCATACCTTTAGTAGATATTCCATCATGTTCATCTTGTGMCTGAATTCGAAAAGTTGCTGCAACTCCTTCGTGATCAGAATATGGGATATTTTCGCCAGGAATCTGACCCATCACCACATCGCACTCCACACACTGTAAGTTGTTCCCAGCTGATTTGTAGAATATGTAATCTATCCTCTTGCCATCAATCTCACTTCTGATCATGTCACTTGATGTGTAGATATTGCTTCTYATATCACAAGTGTAACCATGGAAACCTTTCTGAATAGACAAATCAATAATAATATCAATAAACGATAGCATAGTCTCCTTCACGGTTCCCAGTGTCATGTTGAAAGGTAGCCGGCGCGTGCCTTTACATCGAAGCGAGACAACCGGTGAACGTGCAATGATAGATACCTGTGAATAATTGTCTGTAGGTTGGAAAGAAGGTTTCTACCATTGCACGCTGAACGGTCGTCTAGCTTTGATCAAAATGCACGTCTAGGCTTCCAAGATTGCGCAAATATAGTTGAGAATTTGCTTAATTTTATATAGGTCTTTGGAGAAGGGTTTTATATTTTATATAAGCGTCCGTAATAATGGTGTCCGTAATACTAGGTCCTTCCGCAACGCAAAAGTCCACCTTGGAAAAAACACCATTGGGGCCAAAATTAAGTGCTTTTGGGGATGCGTTTATCTAAGCGTTCATAATAATGGGGTGTTCGCAATACCGGGAAGTCCGCAAAATAATAGGGTTGTAAAAGCAAAAATTGACGGGTACCTTTGGGGATTTTAAAATAAAATAAAATATTAAAATTTATTTTTCTTTTAATTTAAATTTTTAAAATAAAATTTTACAATTAAAATTGTCCGCAATAGGGAGTGTCATTTTCAGAAATCTATTTAGTAGCAAAGGCACTTTTTTGAGTAAGGAATGATTTCATAACAACAACGTATACTAGTGCCCGTAATAAAAAGGATTTTGTAATGCCGAGAAATCGGAAAGTCGAGAGCTGACAATACTAGACTTCTGCATTTCAAACTGCCAAGAGCCATGACAGCACCCGCGCGGCATGACGGTTAATTACAGTCAACTCTCTCGTAAGCGACCACCTCGGGATCAGGAAAAAGTGGTCGCTTACGAGAAAGTTTCTTTTACAGACTTTATATGGGAAACAGTTATAACGGGAAATTTAAAAGGTGGTCGCAAAAGGGATATGGTCGCTTACGAGAGTAGTCGTTCAAAGAGAGTTAACTGTATAGCCCTTTACACTTACCTTCTGTCCATTTATTTCATACCAAGCATCCGTTAATCCAGGAATATCCTTAATAACCCGGTAACATGGATCGACAGGCTCAGTATTCATATCTCCACACACAATGACACAATCAGAAGGTTTGGTGAGATGATTGATAAACTCTGTCAGTTGAAATGCTTGGACAGTCCGGTGTGCAAGGTACTTGTCATTCTTACGATTGTATTCGGCATGTAACTGTAGGAATGGAACAAGGATGRAAAATCTTATGACCATTTACGACTTTCATAGCCTGTGTACCATCCGTTTCTCACCCCTCCAAAAAAACGTTCTCTCCCCGATTTTTTTGGAGGGGTGAGAAACGGATGTACACAGGCTACGACTTTCATAAATGGCGCGATATGTCATGGTTACCAACCAGGGCACTGGTGACAAAGCACTATAACGAGTTCTCAAAAGCCATCCTCCATATAGTAATCTTCCATGGGGTTTTTCAAGAGTTTTTTGTTATAAATGACACGCTAGAACATCTTTCAAACTTTTGGACAATGCCATACATGCCATACATGCGATCTTAGTGTATTTTGTTGTTGTTGTGTTTTTTTTTTTAGATGTAAGCCCTTGGAGATCTCGTTTCCATGATTTGTCACTAGTCCCTCTATACTGACGGTCGTGAACTACCGCCATTATTGAAAATCGCACATCGTTTGCATTGCTACGTGACTAGTCAAAATAAAACTTTAAAAACTGCAATTATCAATGTACTGCTATCAATCAACCAAAGTACTTCTGCTGATGTTTACTGAAAAAAAATGACTGATGGCTGTCAATCACTGCCAATTGAGACACCTGATTGATAGCAGTCTATCACATCACCATCATTTCACCCATAATACAGTACTTTCAGGATTACTTTACTGTGTCAATATTAGCCTCCTTCGCAGGCAACTCTACTCCGTGGGATTCCTGTGTTAAGGCAAAAACCTGCCGGAGGGGGAGGGGCTAGGAATGAAGGAATAATTCCTAATCTCTCGACACCAGTTCTTCTCGGTCAAGAATATGAACACAGGAAGACCAAGAAGAGAAAAATGTCCGTTTCCGATGGAGTAGCCTGCGAAGGAGGCTAGTGTCAATATAATACTCACATGTGTAGTAAAGAAGTGTAGACGTTGGTTAGGGTGTTCAATAATACAATAGCCAACAGATTTCCCACCATACCAGTCRCCATGGTGAACCATATGCATGTAGCCATTCAGAGAATATCTGTAGGTGAACGTGTCTGTGATGGGATACTTGGAGAATACGCAAACTCCACT